CGGCCGCCCGGCCCGGCTCCGCGCGCAGATATATGGAGGCTGCGGCGGCGGCGGCGGCGGGCGGTGCGGGGGAGGGGGCGGGAGCGCGATCGATGGAATATAATTTTCCTCAAACTCGGAAAATAAAGTTCAGAGCTGATCAAATTTGAAAACAGATGTCGAATCGCGACTCTAAATAAGGTTCGATCCCGGGACTGAGGGAGTGGGGGCTGCGGGCGGGGGTGGGTGGAGAGGTGGAGACCCCCCTCCTCTCCCTTTCCCTCCCCTCCGCGTCCCGCCCCTCCCGAGGAGGGCGCGCGGACAAACCGACGGGCACGAGGTGGAGGTGGCAACTACGTGACCCTGCTGGACACGCAGAACTGGATCTGGACACGACTCGCGCGCACACACACGGTCTGGGTAGCAGACACACAGACACGGACATAGGGACACACGAATACACTAACACAGACAGTGCAAACACACACACAGGACACAGCCTATGGGCACATGGATACACAGCCGTAGCAGACACACGCACACACACAAGCATATACACCAACAGATGGACACACAGCCTGCACACACAGACCTACCCTGACTCACAGCCATTCCCTGATCCACGGACCCACAGACTGGACACATGGACATACACAGATCCATGGTGATATACAGCTACACTCCACCCCTGACACACAAACCCTCTTGACACACGAGCCCAGGGCATGTGGACAGACACACAGACAATCACAGACAGAACCGAGGGCAGGCACACTGACACTCCCCTTCACATGCCCACACGGTCACAGGAGCACATACCCACAACTGCAGTGACAGGGAAGGGCCCCATCCCAGGACCCGCTCCCATTGAAATAACAAGGAAATAGCCACTGGCCTCACGACCCTGAGAGCAGCCCCCAGCCCAGAATTCAGCTCCCACTCAGATGCCCTAGCCCAGCCTGACCCTGGTCCTCACTAGCCACCATTCTTCCCCCTCTCTCACACCTACCTCACCCCTTCTCCTTCTCCCCCTTGCTGCTTCCGTCCCCCACTTTTCTCTCCAATCCCAAGGTCAGGCTCCACCCCCAAGCCTCAGTGCCACCTCCTCAGGGGATCGCCCCTGGAGTCACCAGCCTCCAGAGGGGAAAGTGTATGGGGCAAGGCAGTAGTGGCCAGGACAGCTCTGTGAGATCTCCCCAGCCCCACTGACCCCCCGGGGGGCCAATACCAAGGTGCTGAAGGGATGAAGAAGGCTTCAGACAGGCCCCAGCTCCAGCCCTATTCACCACTCCTCACCTGGGCAAGTCACTAAACATCCCCCAGTCTCAGTTTTCTCATCTGCAAAATGGGGCAATAATGTCAGTTACATGCTAGGGTTAAACAGGAACATGGGAGAGCATTTGGCACCATGCCAAGCTCCAAATAAACACCCCTGCTCCGAGCATTTCTATTTCAAAATAATCATATTGAAAATACTAAACATCTGGCTGGAAAATGAGAACTCCTTCACTTGTCTCTACATGGAGCAACATTCTTTCAAGTAGGCAGCGGGAAGCCCCTGCCCCAGGTGTCTCTATCCCGTCATTAAGCGGAACTTGAGACACCCTCAGGAAAGCCAGCATCCTCTGGGTATCTAGAACAACCCGGACTGTACACAGCATCCTTGAAGATAGCTCACCAGCTGGACCTGTACCCCTGGGGTGTCTGTGACACCCACCAGACTGTGGAGAACATCTTCCTGGCACCTTCACAGTGGGTGGCTCTGAATGTTCTGGAACACCCTCTCTGGGGTAGGATGCCTCATCTGCATTTGGCGCCCTTTGGGAGAGAGACAACACCCTTCAGGAAAGCTAGAACACTGTCAGGGCATCAAAAACACCAACTGGAATGTATTTTGTTACCATTAAATGCGCGAAAGGCCACCTGAGAAAAGAGTAAGAACACCTTCTAGGCAGAAAGAACGCAACTGACTGTACGTTCCCCCCTTCAGGAAAACAGCACACCCTCTGGGAAGATGCCATTTATTACGGTGTACCCAGCACCCATCCTCGGAATGTTAGTGGCACCCATAAGACAGCAGAAAGCATCAGCTAAGATAGCTTTCACACCCTATCTTTAGGCCCCGCCTCCAGGAGAGACGTAGGCATCTCAGGGTGTCAGAAACACCCCTAGAGTGTAGGTAATACCCATGAGTGGCTTCCAATGCCCAATCAGAGGGTATGGAGGACCCCAAGGAGAGCTCTGATGCCCTCAGTGGCCAGGACAAGATAGGCTGTACAACACCCATCTGACTGCTCAGAACCCCCTTCCAGAGAAGACGGCTTCCTGATTTCTGGGCTGTGCATCTTTGGATGATCTATGCTCCCTCTCTGAGCCCCAGGTGGTTGGGAGGATTCCTGAGATGGACATCAGTGTGCCCTGCCTTGTGAGCAAACAGTAGCTGCTCAATAAAAGCCAGAGTTCTTGTTGTAAGACGTTTCCGAGGAGGGGTGTAACACCCACCAGGGCTGTGTATTCACTCGTTAGCAGTATCACCAACACCTACTTGACTTGAAGGAAGCATCTCACAGGAGGGGGACCATTAAGCTGTAGTTAACATCCCCAGGGAGGCTGCAGTAGCAGATGACTGTAGTTAACACCCCGCTGAGAGAGAACGCCCTCAGGGTGTTTAATGCCCCCTGGAAATGAGAGAGAGAGAGAGAGAGAGAGAGAGAGAGAGTGGACACCCTCACCAGCCTGAAGCACCCAGTGGACTGAATTTATTACCCATGAAGGAGAGAGAACACCTCTGGGGTCTGTAACATCCATTAGACTCTTTTCAAACCCCTAGGTAGTACGAGGACCCACCCCCACCCCCACCCCGTGAGGGCTAATGCATCCCTTTAGATTGAGGGTAACACCCCTGAAAGGGTCTCCAGGTGCCTGAACACTACTAAAGGTGACTGAGGGTGAAACCAGGAAGGGTATACGCTGACCCGCCCCCCTCCCGCCACAAGAATCCATCCCCCTAACCCACTTCCAGGTGGGCAAGGTCCTCCCTGAACCACAGGAGCACAAGAGGCAAGAGTGGCATTTGCGGGGGAGGCGCAGAGGGTGGAGTTGGGCTGAATAGGGTCTGTAGACAGTTACAGTAGCCATGACAATTGTCACTTCAGCGGTATTTGCTCTGAGCAGGTACTGGCCCAAACGCTATACGTAGATTACCTAATTCTCCCAACAACAGCCCTACGACATAGGTGCTGTTATTAGCGTCACTCCCATTTTACAGATGAGGAAACTGAGGCACAGAAGTCACTTGCCCCCTGTTACACAGCTAGTTAGTGTTGGAAGTGGGACCTGAGCCAAGGCAGCTGGCCGGGTGGGGGTGGTTTGAGTGGGGGTGGGTTGGGGGGTGGCAGTCTATGCTCCCAAGCAGCAGGCTATACTACCCTGCTGTATACACTCTCACGTTAGACACTGATCTTCAGCTCTGACACCCCCGCAAGCAGAGTCCACCGCACCCCCAGGCTCTCTGCACTTCCTCTGGCAGTCTGACACCCCCACACACTCTGGTCTCACCCCCTACCCAGCCTGGCTCAAGGCTCCCCGAGGGCAGGGCCTGTGTCGGATTCGTCTCTGGGTCCCCACTGAAGGCAGAGTCTGGCACAGGGAGGGTCAGGAAGAGAGTGAGAGGAGGGAGGGGGAGGATGTTAAAGAGAGCAGGGAGGGCAGGAGGGGGGAGGCGGTAAAGAGGGGTTCAGGGAGGTGGGCGGGCAGCCCTGGGTTCCTAGGGAGGTGGCTGAGGGCCGGGGGAGCGGGGCTGCAGAGAGGCCAGGCCTGGCCGAGGGTGTGGGGAGCGCTGAGGAAATCCAGAGCCGGGGGGAATCAAGTCTGCTGGGGAAGGGGGAGCAGACAGCATCCCCCTCCCCCACCCCCACAGCCTGGAAGGTGGCGAAGGATGCAGGCAGGGGATGACACGGACGACAGACAGACAGCCACACGGGCCGTCGGGAAGCCGGGGAGAGGCAGCCAGCCAGGGCAAATGCGTGTGTGGGGGTGGGGTGGGAGTCAGACAGACGGACAAAGGCGGGGTGTTGAGAAGACTGGTGGACAGATGAGGGGAGGGGTCCCAGGAAAGGGACGGACAGGCTTAGGGCTTGGGGTTGGGGCGGAGAGGACAGACAGACAGCAGGGGAGAGTGGCCCCGTGCGAGGGGAGGACAGACAGAGGACATGCAGGGAATCGGCGGACAGATGGACGCCGGAGGGATGGCGGTGCAGGCGCGGCCCTCGAGGCTGGGGCCAGGCCGAGGGCGCGCGCGGTGGCGGCCAGAGCGGGGAGGCGGAGGCCGGGTGAGCGGCGGTGTTTGTGGAGCTGTCGGCTGCGGTGGAATTATGAAAAATAGCAGGCATCGGAGCCGGCCTTCAGCTTCGATTAGGGGAGATGGGACATGACAGGTGCGATCAATACGCAGCCGTTCTATAAAGTGTCAAGTAATGAATCAA